CTTGTTGTGCGAGCTTCAACCGGTGAAGCGTGGATAGCTATCTGAGGAGCTTGCACTTCAGGTTGAGCGTACTGGACTCCAGGAGCATCAGCAACAACATTGTCTTCATTATTAAGCAGCATACAGATCTCCTCAATATCCTTCTCATTAGCAGCTTGTTGATCAAATCCTTCCTCTTGAGTGAAGATCGCTCTACAATGCTCCTTTGGATTCTGAACAGCCTTTCCAGGAAATTGACCTTGCTTAGCAGCAGAAGAAGAAGCATGGTGTTCCAAAGAGTGAACTCTAGTGTTCAAGGATTCAATCTTAGAGTTCATCTCAGCCAACTTCTTGCTTATCTCCATAGCACCATCTGCTTGACCTTGTAAGAGCTGCTTCAACATGGCTTTTATTTCTTGTTCCTGACTTGGTGAAGTGAGGCGCTTGAGGTGCATACCCAGTTGGTACACTCTGCTGTTGTCCTTGATAATTTCCCTGATGGCCCTGGAAATTCCCTTTCTGACCATATCCTTGCTGTGGAGGCTGACTCGCTGGAGCCTGTTGCTGCGGAGGGTAGACTTGATCTTGAGGATTGGCAACATCAGTGTTACTGTAGGACATGGTAGGGTGTGACTTGTAGCCATAGTAACCGTTTTGATAACCTCCTTGTCCATTCTTAATGTAGCACACTTCAGCAAACTGATTCTCCTCCTCTTCTTGGCCTTGAACCATCTCTTCTTTAGAAACAAAGTTGGCCTTCTTCATTGTGGATTGAGCTAAGATAAGCGTATCCAACTTCTCATTGAGTGCCTTGACATCGTTTCTCAGCTTACTATCAGACTCGATCGAGTTGGAGGTCGAGCTCCTGTTTGTGCGATCATACTCCTCTCCATAGCTCCCACTTGAGTTAGCAATGTTCTCCACAAGCTGCCAGCCATCATCTACATCTTGATTGAGGAAGTTTCCATTACTGGCTGTGTCCAACATCTCTTTGTATCTTGGCAAAACTCCTCTGTAAAGTGTGGAAAGCAAAGACTCATTGCTGAAGCCATGATGAGGGCATTGACTGGTGTAACCCTTGAATCTCTCCCAAGCTTCAGCAAATGTCTCATTGTTCCTTTGAGTGAAACCAGATATCTCGCTTCTCAGCTTAGCAGTGCGACCAGTAGAGAAGAACTTGGCAAGAAATGCCTTCTTGCAATCCTCCCATGTAGTGATTGATCCATGGGGTAAACTCTTCTCCCATTGATGGGCCTTGTCACCAAGAGACATAGGGAAGAGTCTCAGCTTGATGGCATCTTCAGAGACACCATTCATCTTGGTCAGATCACACAGCCTATCAAACTCATCCAAGTGATCAATGGGATCTTCACAAGACAATCCATGGAACATCTTGTTCTGGACTAAGGTAATCATCCCCAGCTTGATCTCGAAATTGTGGTTCTGGACAGGAGGTGGGACAATCCCTCTTCTTTGCTGGTGGCGGTTTGGTGCATCTCCAAGCCCAATCGGTCGAGTCTGCCTAGCTCGACCATTTCCATTACCCAGAGGGTTTCCATTACCCTCTGGTATATCCATAGTATCTGTAACAAGCACCTCTGACTGAACTTGTTGCCTCTGGCTCTTCTTTCTCTGTTTTCTGCCTATGTTGATGTCTAACTCGACCAAGTTCTCTGTTGATGAGCTCGATCGAGTTCACATACACCTGCAAAACAGTCAAAAACCCAGCAGTACAAGCAACAAAGGTGGGATAGTACTTGATCGTTCAAGTGATTTGGAAACTCAAATGCAACAGTAACAAACCCAAATGGCAACGGCGCCAAATTGATGATAGGATTTGTGTGTGATGTGATGATATGAAATGAGATGTGGTGGAATGCAAACAGGGTGAATAAGATGAGATGGTATGGTGCAATCACAATCAATCAATTCCTCTTAACCATCATAGTCATTGAAGTATAAGAGGTTATCAATCCATAAGGGTGAGATGTTGCTCTATGAGAATATGCAAACACAAGAAAGTCAAGCCAAATGATTAAAAGGAGGGATGTAACAACTAAACAACCTAATATGAAATGAAATGCAAGCAAAAGCAGTAAATAAAAGCAGCTCGACCAAGAGCTCGATCGAGTTGATGAGCTCGATCGAGTTGAGGGTCGAGTTGGTGTAAAAACAGAGGAAAGCAATGAAAAGCAATAAAGGTGCAAACTTTAAGATGCTAATGCGAAGATTAGGGTTAAAGACAGGGTTTTGCAGCTAAAGGGAGGCTATACTTAATCAGTCTTGCTCTTAAACAACTTGTATCAAGCTATCTCTTGATATTGAGCTTCTCAATGCCTAGCTAACCCTTTCCCAAGGTGAAAGCTATCAACCAAGACTTGATCTCAGAAACAGGGGGTTAGCCAGTGAGAATCAAGCCTTGGAGGCCATAGGATCATTGCTCAAACTAATCCATCCAACCCCTATGAACTCCATTTCGAGAGCAAGAGTTATTGGAGCTCTTAGTGGACCTTTTCCAACGATTTCCATCACTTCCATGTGGAGAATCGCCTATGGACATACAAGCCAGGGATAGTGGTCATGTAGCCTTAAGGTTTGTCCAAAAGAGAGAGATTTCTAGATTAAGAACATAAAGCAAGAGAGATTAAGCATAAACAACCTCTAACCTATCCCATCTTAAACCCTAAAGGGAACTACTCACTACACATGATGAAATAAACAACCAAATGCAATAAAGGAGACATCAAAAGATAGAGGAGATAAAGATAAACAACTTTTATTGAAATAGCAAAGTGCAAAAACACAATAACAAGGCCTAGATCTAGGGTTCTATGAGCAAGAGCTCAAGAACACAAAGAGAGGCTAAAAAGTAAAAAAGGAAATGCAAATACAAGATTAATTAAAAGTTGAGCAAAGCTATGTTTAATTCGTGGCTCAATGCCATTTATAGTAAAGCAAACTAGGTTTAGGGTCAAAGGGGAGTCAAAGGGAAGCAACATTTTTCGGGTTTGACTTTGACTCCTGGAAAAGCAGCTCGATCGAGTTGGAAACTGGCCGGTCGAGCTGGTGGGTCGAGTCCAACCAATATCGTCGTATCTTCTGAACCGCTGGTCCGAATGACATGAAACCACCTCCAGACGAAAGCTAACTCAATTATCCACAACTTCCAAGAAGAAGTCAGAGGCTGAATCGGAGTGGAAACCCTTCATTTGATACGATACTTCGGACGCATCTCACTAGCTCGACCGAGTGCGGGTCCGTACATGGGGCAGACAGAGTCTTTCCTTCCTCAACTAGTCTCCAGTGATAGGCAATGTTCCAATTGGCTCCAAATGACCTGATTAAGACATCAAACGTGCACATGTATGCAAATGCAAGCCTAAAACTACTATGTATGCAAAAGAAGGGAAAACATCAAGAAATGATGCTTTGGGTGAATGAAACTATGCAAAAGATGCATAAAAGAAGGGCTAAAACCATGTAAAATGCAAGTACATCAGCAACGCCCCAGCTACTTTCCAGAGATGCATGACCTCCATTTTTTCAGATCTGATAGAGGAGATGGTAGAAGTCTTCATGGACGATTTCTCAGTCTATGGAGCATCCTTCTCCTCATGTTTGTCTAACTTGTGCAGGGTGTTGCAGAGGTGTGAGGAGACAAATCTAGTACTCAACTGGGAGAAGTGCCACTTCATGGTTCGAGAAGGGATTGTGCTTGGACACAAGATTTCCGAGAAAGGGATCGAGCTCGATCGAGCTAAGGTGGATGTCATGTTGCAGCTTCCTGTTCCCAAGACTGTGAAGGACATCAGGAGTTTTCTGGGTCATGCAGGGTTCTACAGAAGATTCATCAAGGATTTCTCAAAGATAGCAAGACCCTTGACAAGGCTTCTGTGCAAGGAGACAGATTTTGAGTTTGATGAAGAATGCCACAAGTCTTGGACCTTGCTGAAGGATGCTCTGGTATCTGCCCCAATAGTTCAAGCTCCAAACTGGGATCACCCATTTGAGATTATGTGTGATGCATCTGACTATGCAGTAGGAGCAGTGCTTGGCCAAAAGATAGACAAGAAACTCAATGTCATCTACTATGCAAGCAAGACTATGGATGATGCTCAATGCAAGTATGCAACCACAGAGAAGGAGCTCCTTGCCATCGTCTTTGCCTTTGAGAAATTTCGAAGCTATATAGTTGGGTCCAAGGTGATTGTGCACACTGACCATGCTGCCCTTAGGCACATCTTTGCTAAGAAAGATACAAAGCCAAGACTTCTCAGATGGATCCTTTTGCTTCAAGAGTTTGACATAGAAGTTGTGGACAAAAAGGGAGTGAGAATGGAGTTGCTGATCATCTCTCTAGGATGCGAGTTGAAGACATGTCCCCATCAATGATTCTATGCCTGAAGAACAGCTTATGGCAATCATGATCTTGAAGGAGAGTTTTGATGAGAAAGTCAGGCTGGAAGAAGTTAAGGCTCTGCGTGATGAGAATTTGCCATGGTATGCTGATATAGTGAACTTCATGGTGTCTGGAGAAGTCCCTAGTAGTTTTGATGCTTACAAGAGGAAGAAGTTCTTCAAGGATGCTAGGCATTACTATTGGGATGAGCCTTACTTGTACAAGAGAGGACCAGATAGCATTTACAGAATGCATAGCTGAAGAAGATGTACAAGGAGTTCTAGAGCATTGCCATGGGTCAGCTTATGGAGGTCACTTTGCTACATTCAAAACAGCAACCAAGGTTCTGCAATCTGGGTTGTGGTGGCCTACCTTGTTTAAAGATGCAGCAAGCTTCATCGCAAAGTGTGATCCATGCCAAAGGAAAGGGAAGTATCACCAAGAGAGATGAAATGCCACTGAACCCAATTCTGGAAGTTGAGATCTTTGATGTATGGGGAATAGACTTCATGGGACCTTTCAAGCCTTCCTCAAACGGGCACAACTACATTTTGGTTGCTGTGGACTATGTGTCCAAATGGATTGAAGCCATCCCCTGCCCAGCCTGTGATGCTAAGGTTGTTATCAAACTGTTCAGAACCATCATCTTTCCAAGATATGGCATCCCAAGGGTTGTTATTTCGGATGGAGGTTCCCATTTCATCAATAAAGTGTTTGAGAAGTTGATGAAGAGTTATGGAGTCAAGCACAAGGTCGCTACACCTTACCATCCTCAAACCAGTGGGCAAGTTGAGGTCTCCAATAGGCAGATAAAGGCCATTCTTGAGAAGACAGTGAGCTTCACTAGGAAGGATTGGTCAACAAGACTTGATGAAGCTCTTTGGGCCTATAGAACAGCTTACAAAACCCCCATTGGAAGGTCCCCTTTCAACTTGCTGTATGGAAAGGATTGTCACTTACCTGTGGAGGTAGAGTACAAGGCACTATGGGCAGTAAAGATGCTGAACTTTGACATAAAGGCTGCACAAGAGAGAAGAGTAATGAACTTGTTTGAGTTGGAGAAATCAGAATGAATGCCTATGAGAACTCCCTGATCTATAAGTTGAGAACCAAGGCAGCCCATGACAAACTGATCCGCCTTAAAGACTTCAAGGTTGGGGACAGTGTGCTTTTGTATAACTCCAAGCTAAGGTTGTTTCCCGGGAAGCTAAGGTCAAAGTGGGCGGGACCATTCAAGATCCACGAAGTTTTGCCCTATGGATCCCTCACTCTACTAAATCAAGAGGGGAAGGAGTTCACAGTGAATGGGCATAGATGCAAGCCATATCTAGGAATGACCCCCACAGAGGAGATCATCACTCCTCTTCATGATCCAACCCCGCCTAAAAGGTAAGGTCAAGCTATGAGACCTAAAACAAGCTCACTTGGGAGGAATTCCCATGTCTATCTTATATATTTATGCTTTACCCTTTTATTTCTATGATTTTCTTGGCTAAGTCTTACAGGAGCAGGTTTTAGGAAGAAGGTGGCTAACTCGAGGCACAACTCGATCGAGTCAAGAGCAAGCTCGATCGAGCGAGCGTGAACCCCGAGTGGAGTGCCCTGATGGCCGTCTGCCCTCTCCAGACCACGACCTTGCCTCCCAGTTCTTTGGGGGGCACTGAGGTATCAAACACCAACCCTTGTAATACCATTTCATATTTTCTTTATTTGTTTTTTTTTTCTTGGTTTTGCCCTCTTGAATCTTTCACTAAATTTCTCTCACACAAGGGACTGTGTGATTTAAGTTTGGGGGAGGGTTCAAGAGATGATTTAACCTTGTTTTCTTTGTTCTTAGTTTTTCATTATCTTTTGCATAGAAAAACCAAAAAAATCATAAAATTTTCAAAAAATCCAAAAATATTTTCATCTTTTTGCATTCATATTTGTTAGATTGTTTAGGATTGCATCTTTCACTTGCATTGTTGATTTGACTTTGAAAACTTGTTCATCATTTGCGATTTCTTGAGTGCCCTGTTTTTAGATTCTCTTGTGCATTAGGGTGAGATTGATTGAGCAGCAAGAACCATGTTTATCTTGATCATATCACTGCATGCACATCTCATTCAACCATTGCTGTGATTTGATGCATTTCCCTATCTATTTGAACCATAACTTGATCTTTAATTACCAATGCTTGCATTTGATTTCAACTCATGGCTACCACATACATATCTGGACATTCTTTACCATTTTCATATCCCTCTTGCTTGTCCAGATAGCTGATCTCCATCTTTGAGACAGTTACCACACCTTGAAACCTAAGCCTTTTCATTTCAAACCCCTTATTATCTCTTGTGCGAATGTGAGAACCTTTCTTGGCTTTGCTTAGCATAAGGTGTTGTGTTTAAACCGGCAGGGGCAGTAGTTCTAGTTGTCTAGTTCTCTTGGGATTGTTTTCAGGCTAAGTTTGGGGGTGCCAACTCGAGCTCGATCGAGTTGGGTGTAAAAACCAGAAAAGTGGTAAAAGTTGGGAAAATCCAAAGGAAAAAGAGTTTAGTTAAGTCCAGGGAGTTGGCAGTGTAAAAAGGGTCTAGTAAAGGTTTGGGAAGTTAAAAAAGGAAGTAAAAAGGGTTCTAAGTAGAAAGAAAAGAAGGCAAAGCCTCAAGTGTCAAAAAGAAAAGAAAAGTTCCCTAAGTGTTTAGAAAATCCCAAACCGCTAGATGTTACCTCAAGAAGCCTCTCCCTAGGAAGTTCTTAAAAGAAAAGTGAGCAAAGCTCCTCAGTTTCAAAGGCGAAATGCCAAAAAGGGTAGTTAGGATTTTGTTCTAAAAAGCTCTAAGTGTTGAACTCGATCGAGTTAGGATTAGGCGGCTCGAGCTGCTGTTCTTGCATCATCTTTGGTTCTAACACTTAGCCTTCTGCCAAAGCAAAGCCACTTTCTTGAGAGATCCCTGTTACTAAACCACCATACAAAAGAGACCCTCTTTGTCTCTTAACCCATAAACCCTTGAAACCAAATGAGTTGATTGATCTTGCATGTTTTTGGTTCACTGTTTTTGCTTAATGAATGTTAAAGGGATTTGCTGATTTGAATGCATTGTTTGAGTGACTGTGAAGTGGGATTGATGTTGATAAGCATGGTTAAATCTTAATGAATATCTCTCACCTTGTTGCATTTAGAATCTCTAAGTTGGACATTTAGCAAATCGCTTTTGAGGACATGTTTTTAAGTGTTGAATCAACTGTTTTCAAACCTCATCTCTTTCTTGTTCTATTTGTTTGCTTGAGGGCAAGCAAAGGTCAAGTTTGGGGGTGTTGATGTACTTGCATTTTGCATAGTTTTAGTACATCTTTTATGCATCTTTTGCATAGTTTTAGCATCCATTAGCATCATATCTTGTTCCTTTTCTCTTCTTATGCATTCATAGTAGTTTTAGGTTGCATTTGCATACATATGCATGTTTGGTCCTTTGAAATAGGTCTTTTGGAGCATTCTGGAGCATATGGGACGTGAGGAGCATGGAAGGACTTGGCATGGACGCAGCTCAACTGGATACGCAAAGGAAGAAGGAGAAGCCATCTTGAAGACCAGCTCGACCATCTACTCGACCAACCGGTCGAGTTCCTCAACTCGACCGGCCAAGCTTCAACTCGATCGAGCTGAGAAGTCAACAGTCAAACCCGAAAAATGTTGCTTCCCCCTTGACTTTCCTTTGACCCTAAACCTAATCCTCTTTGTATTTAAAGGCTAAAAGCCACGAAAAAACCACCAAGCTTTAGATTACTTTTTGTTTTAGTTTCTTTTAATTTATTGTCTTTTACTTTTTAGAGCTCTAATCCCATCTTTGTGTTCTTGAAGCTCTTGCTTCTTGAATCCTAGATCCTGGATAATCTCTTTGTATTTGCACTTGCTTATTTCAATAAAAGTTGTTTATTTCATCTCCTCTTTCATTTGATGTCTTTTTCATTGCATTTGCTTGTGTTTACATTCATGTGTAGTGAGTAGTTACCCATTAGGGTTTGAGATGGGATAGATTAGAGGTTTCATATGCTTAATCCTTCTTGCTTATGGTCTTAATCTAGATTCTCTCTCTTTTGGATAATCTTAAGGCTACATGACCACTACCCCTGGCTTGTATGTCATTAGGCGATTCTCCACATGGAAGTGATGGAAATCGCTGGAAAAGATCCACTAAGAGCTCCAATAACTCTTGCTCTCGAAATGGAGTTAAGGGGTTGGATGGATTAGTTTGGGCAATGATCCTATGGCCTCCAAGGTTTGATTCTCACTGGCTAACCCCCTGTTTCTGAGATCATTCCTTGGTTGATAGCCTCCACCTTGGGAAAGGGTTGGCTAGGCATTGAGAAGCCCAATATCAAGAGAAGCCTTGATACAAGGAGTTTTAAGAGCAGATTGATTAAGTGTAGCTTCCTATTGCAAAACCCTGTCTTGAACCCTAATTCTCGCATTAGCTTGTTAAAGTCGCTGCCTTTATTGCTTTTACTTCAACTCGATCGAGCTCGGTACTCTGTTCCACTCGACTCGAGTCTTGGTCGAGCTGTTGCTTTACTGCTTTCTTTCTTTTATTGCATTGCATTTCATTTTTTAGGTTGTTAGTGTTACCAATCATTTACTGCTTGCTTGACTTCCTTGTTTTCATATTCTCATAGAGTGACAAGTTTCTCCCATTTTGGATTGATAACCCTTTACTATAACAACTATCATGGTTAAAGGGAATTGTTGACTGTGTTTGTGTTTGCATCTTACCACCTCATCATATACCACTGTTGCATTCCACCACATCTCATTTCATATCATTTCACACCCACACACAAATCCTATCATCAACTACATCGACTGTGATGGTTAAGGGGAATTGATTGATTGTGATTGTGTTTGCACCATACCATCCCATCTGTATTTACCATTGTTGCATTCCACCTCATTTCATTTCATATCATCACATCACACACACAAATCCTATCATCAAGTGGCCCCATTACAAGTGGTTTGAGGTGATGAGTTAAGAGTAAATATGTCTAGAGACGGGCGTATAATATAAGATTAGATGTGAGTCTTGGGGATCAGGTGAGGATCTCCAGTGTTGTGACCTTGCGAGGTCGGGTTTGCGGTCTTTGTGACGTTTTGTGTTGGGATTCGAGGTCGAATCCATAAACCAAAATTTAAGAATCTTGTCGGTTTAATTTAAGTTATCCGGTTTAGGCTGGTTTAAGGGAAAAGCCCTAATTCGCTGGGATAAAAGAGAGCAGCCCCGTAGTTTTGCACGGTTTTCGAGTTCAGAGGCAGGAGAGGAGAAAAGTGGAGTTTCTGGAGCATAATTTCGTTACTGTTCATCGAAGTACTGTTCATCGATATTGTTCATCGATACTGTTCATCGTCGCGATTCGGCACTGTTCATCGTCTTTCCTCTTTCATTCAGTTTCAATTTATTGTCAAGGCGAGTGCATGAATGTGGGTTCGCAATTTGCTAGATTCTGTTTTGTTTGTGGTTGTTCTTAAGGAGTTTATGTGCTTGATTGTTATTTTGTGGTATTTTGGTTGTTGATGTGGTGAATTGAATGTTTGTTTGGTTTAATCTGATTTAATTAAATTTAATTGATTTAATTAGTTTATCTTGGTTTAATTGAATTTAATTGATTTAATTGGTTTATCTTGGTGTAATTGAATTGAATTGGTTTAATTCGGATTTAATTAATTAAATGATATTTAATTAATAAATTGGTTTAAATAATATTTTAAATTATTTTAAATATGTAAAATTATTATTTAATTATGAGAATTATTTAATAATTAAGAGTTGAAGTTTTAATAATTATTGAGGTTTATAATAATTATTAATATGTTATTTAAATTACTAGTAATTGCGTAATTGGCCTGTAGGCAAGATGATTGCCTCACTAAGTATTTATTAAATACTTATGCAAATCTCTTAACTGCTGCAGTTAAAGAGCCACAGTTATTCAAATTCAACTGTTTACTAAATGGATATGTCTTATAATTGTTGCAGGAAGTGGGCTTGTGTCATCACTGGAGTTAAGGCACAAGCAAATACATGTACATCATACGGTTTGTAATTTCACTCTTAAAATTAGTTTCTCTCATCATAAGAACACAGTCTTAGTAGTATATTGATTATGCAGGATACGCTTAAGAGGAAAACAAATTTGAGAATTTATTTTGGTTCTTATCATCAGTTCAAGAAGGAGAGCATAAAACAAATAATTTTTCACCCTCTTATTATAAATGAAAAGGAATAAAGGGTTTCGGCTACATTGGTCTGTCGTTCAGTTGCTTAGGAGCCTCTCCACTTTGGGATAGCTTAGGGGAATCTTTAACAAAACTCTAATCAAATTTGGTTGTTGGTTTCGGTTCATATTGATTTGTTGTGTGTAGTGTGTTTCTTTACTTCGACTTCATAGAGAAATTAAGAATTTAGTTTGTAACTTCTGCCTTTTCATCCGACACATAATGATGTCAAAAGAAATAACATTAAAAAATATTTACTTTTCTTTTTAGGTTAGTATGTGGTGATCTTGATTCTCATTGGCATTGTTTGACCCTTTAGGAAGGAGAGAAAAAGTGAGTGGAGATTCAATAAGCAAGGAGCTGTTCAAGTGTTTTGGAAGAAGATCACTGATCAGGATTTCGATTCTAGGATACGATCTTTCACTTACATGTAAATGTTTCTTGAAACCATTTCATTCGATAACCCGACATGAACTATTAATCTCATATTATATGAATTGCAGGGTAGATAACGATGCGGAAGCGCGGTTGAGTGCAGCCGAAGTAAGAGAGGTAAAATCTGTTTTTTTTTTTTTTTTTATTAGAAGCTCTCTCTGTGATCGTCATATATAAGTAGGTTTCTTCTTAGTGCACAACACATTTTAAGTTTAAGTGCTTCTGCAAACGAGCTGGCTAACATTCGAAACAAAGTCGATGAATATTCTGCTTTGATTATGGAAACACTAGATCCCTATCATTATGGGTAGATCATGGTATGTCAAGGAGGAGGTTCGTTTGGTTGGTCATCTTATTTATATAATCAGAGAAGTTTTGGTTTGTGAGTTTATTCTTTATATGTGTTTGGAGGGACTAATTGCTACAATGTCAAACATGTAGAGAATCTTGAGGCACTGTTGTTGCAAGCGTCAATGGAAGGTATCAGAGATGGTGAGAGTAAGAACCTGCTTAGCCAGAAGCTCAGGGTTTCGCAGAAAAATAATCTCGGGGAGCGTTTTTACAGAGGGATGAAATATTTTGTGGTGGATAATTGGAAGAGTATGGTGATGGCTCTATGGATACGTGCTATTGTTGGGCTCTTCACGTGGAAGGTCATCGATTATCGGAGAAGATCTGCTTACCAAGCTATGGAAAATTGTGTTTGTATAGCTAAAGGAGCTGCAGAGACGCTTATAGAAACACCATCACTTGGCTCCGGACAAAAACCACGGCAGTTGATGGTGTTAGACGAGAGCAGTAGAGGGGGAGTCTGAAGAGTAAAAGGTTTAAAGTACATGAGGATTTTGATGCTCAAAGTTTGATAGAGAAACTAAAGCTCATGAACAACCATATATTAATTGCTTACATTGAACGTACATGATGTTTATTTACAATTGTTGGAGTTAGATTTATCACCTAAATCTGGCCCATATTAAGGCCTAACAAAGGCCCATTTGAAGTCTTTTGTCAAAACCCATTTATCTTGATGTTCAGCCATAGTTCGCAACAAGACGACGAGCTGCCGTCTGCGGGAGTTCGCTACTGATGATTCGGTCAAAGTAGTTCGAAGAGATCCCACAAATTCAGGAGCTCGTGTGCTGAAGATCCCCCGATATCCGGGCAGTAGTTTGGAGTTGGACAGCTTATATAAAGGAAGCACGAACCATACAGAAAACTTATCTTTCACTCATCTTTTACTCGTTCTAATCCTCTTGTACGCTTACGAGCTATCGCATTACGAACTCTATTTGTAAACACTTTTCTCATCAATATAAATCCATTTGGTTGATCTAAGTCTTATTCTTGTTTGGTTCATTGTGAGATTCTTACCTACTTCTTTCTCATCTATTCATTCACTCTAAATACTTGAGTGTGGGATTTATGTCCCACATTTTGGCGCCGACTGTGGGGAAGATAAAAGATATCTCTAACTTAGTAGCCCGGAAAAGGCCAGTTAGAACGCCAATGGATCCACTCGCGACAGCACAGATCCATGCTTCCGTCAACTCCGAATGATCAAATCCTTCAAACACGACAGGAACAAACAATTCCGCTCCCACCGGAGCAGCTCCTACGAAAGCAAACAATTCAGCTCCGATTGGAGCAGCTCATACGGGAGCACCACGAACCGAATCTGAACCAGATCTCGTTGATCTCAACCCTGATGCACCGGCCGTCGCGCCCGCATCAATAAATAAAACCACTGGCGCACCTGCGCCAACTGGACGAGCTACCGTTGCATATGCATCAACAGCTCAGACCAGATCCAGCAATGCGAACCCAAGCACCGACAACTCCGTCAGAGGTAACCCATTCACCTGGGTGCGAGCTGAAGGCCGATCTGAAGATCACATGCACTTCAACTGGCCGTGGCGCCCTAGATCTAATTTGTTCGGGCAAACAAGAACTGATCCGAACGAAACAACAGAAATTCGGAGGATGCTCGATCTCCTGCTTGAGAAAGCTCAAAATCAGGAAGCAGCCGTCCAGGCATTGATCCAAACATCCATCGAAGCCCAACTAGCAAACATTCGAGCTACCGTCGAACGAACTACACCGCCATCATTGCACCGTAGTACGAATTTCGAACAAAGAACTGAGCCTGAGAGAACTCTGATACAAGGAACTCGACTCCGATTCTCTCCGGTCTCAGAACATCTCACACTGCCGGAGCTCACAACAATTTTGGTCGACGACCCCCGACTTCAGATCTAGTAGTTCGGAGCAACCGAGAGATTCTAGCCCACGAGCATCAGCTCGCGACTGGCAACCATTCTCCTCCACGGATCCAAGGGGCAACCAAGATCTTCCATTCCGCGAGCATCAGCTCGTAGTGGAGAACAGTTTCCCCCACCTCCGCGAGGATCAGCGCGTAGTGGAGAACAGATTCCCCCACCTCCCTCAGGACCGTTCGGAACCGGAGAAAGAACACCTCCAGGACCGTCTCGAACTAGGCTGCAGGGACGCCGCGGACCGAACACTACACTGGACACACTCAAGCACCTCCATGTTTATCATCATTCGAGCAACCGCTCCCAAATGATACATACGAAACCGGAAGTCCACTGAGGCAAACTCGAGACGAACATGCTTTCGAGCAACGAGCTCACACAAATCAAACTTACTTCGGTAACGATCCGGCCTTCCGGCAGTTCGCAGAGCGAAACGAAGCGGAGCTCAAGCGCATGAAATCTCTCATGCACTCAGCTTTGAGCACTGCACCAGACATCGATCGCGTTATCAAAGAAACTCGCAGTACTCCGTTCTCTGATAGAATAACCAATGCTAGAATCAGAGACATCGGTAAAATCAAATTCCCTGAGTATGCAGGAACTACCGATCCGAGAACTCACGTTAGAGCTTTCAGACTAGCTGTAACTAAAGCTCACTTAAGTGACTACGAAAAAGAACCGGGCTACTGTAGATTCTTTGCAGAAAACCTGACAGGCCCAGCTCTTGAGTGGTTCGCAAGTCTAGAAGGCGGCTCAATAGATAGTTTCGATCAGGTCGTATCAGTTTTCCTTAAACAATACTCGATGTTTATCGAAACACGAGCTACAGAAGCCGATCTCTGGAAATTACGCCAAGGTCCTGATGAACCACTTCGCTGCTTCATAGCTCGCTTCAAAGAAGTGAAAGCGAAAATCGCAAACCTCAATGATGCAGTAGCTATTGACGCCTTGCAAAATGGGCTGTGGTTCACCTCACAATTCAAACACGACTTGGCGGTCAGACCCACCAGCTCGCTTGACGATGCGCTGCATAAAGCAACATTTTTTGCTCACGCAGAAGAGGACTATTCGAGCAATCTCGAAAAGTACAATGCTAGGTTACTAGCTGCGGGCAAAAATGTACACACTATCACGAACAGTAGCTCGCAGAAACAAAAACGCTCACCTCGCAATAAGAACAAATTTTGCAAAAAGCTAAAAAACGATAATGAGGAACAAGAATCCTCAGAATCGGAGGAAGAAAGTGACGGATCACTCCCAACCACTCCCAAATCAAAAAGGGGAACTCAAAACAAAGCTTCCCAAAAGAGGAGGCGAGCAGAGGAAGAAAACGATTCTCCTCCTCCCGCTTTTAAACAGCGAATAGACATGATATTCAAAGACCTCGCGCAATGCGGCGGTTCGACGAAATCAGTAACAACACAACCTCCTGCTCCCAAGAAAACTCTATGTCAACGACTTAGTGAACTTAGCCTTTGTAGGGGGGTATAGGGGCATCAGCTCCCAAGAAAATAAAATTTATAACCTGAGACTCGAAATTCTATTGAAACTAGATAAACTCCATAAAAGAGCGAGCTTCAGTAGATATTTATCTCAAAATGCATTATTACAAAAGTCTGTATGGACATAACCGTCGCAACAGATGCACGAACATTGACTCGGATTCCGACAGCTCGGATCCCGACAGCTCGATCCCACGCTTATGGAACACCATAGACCAAAAAACTATTACTATTAAGTAGTAAAACAATCGAACTACGTTAAGGCTTGATCCCCCGACGGGGTATGTAGGTAGCTCACCGTCGAGTTCAGCCACCACTTTTTTCAAACAATTTCATTTATATGACTTGTATCTTGTGTCCTAAAATTTCGTATACCAAGTTATATCCAACGAGCTATCCCAACAAAAGCTCGACAAACCAAAGTTCACCACCAAGTAGTCGAACTGTCGCGAACAAACAAACACTACATAAAGATCTCTTAAAACGATCCTTTATATCGAACTCGGATCATCATACAATCCTCCAAAATGTCTGGCCAGACTAACCTAAATGAGTTCGTCAGTTCGCACAACCTTAGTTCGTCTCAAATCCGAACTACCGCATATGCAAACATTTGCTCGCGGTCAAAAGGATTTAGTCAAAAACCTAATCCTCAAACTATCGTTCGCACCTAAACGAACAACCGCATAAGCAAATATCTGCTCGCGGACAAAAATATTAGTCTAAAAACTTATCCTCAATTTAAACTTCTTCTCTGTCTTCCGCCTATCGAGCTCATCACTTTACTCAATAGGCTGGGGGGCTACTATTGGAGCTAGATTTATCACCTAAATCTGGCCCATATTAAGGCCTAACAAAGGCCCATTTGAAGTCTTTTGTCAAAGCC